TGCATGGGGGACTTTGGGCCGTGTCTCGTCAACGCGTACATGGTGGGGTTGGGGGGTGGGGGATGCGACGCCTCATGGTAGGAGATCACAGGCACTCATTGACTACTTTGGTGCGCCGTGCACGTGGTTACGGCGCGCGCGCAAGTGTCGTCTTCTGGAACGGCAGGGTCGGGCCTTTTCAGACTGCGCCGATCCGTCAGAAATGGGGCCGCTACCCGATTCTCATCCGAGTAGACTACCTTCTCTCGTGCCCGCACGGGCCAAAGAGGAAGAAGGAGGAGAGAGGGGGCACGGGCAGGATGGTCGAGGGACGGTGGATGGGCTGTGGGGGGAACCTTTTCTCAGGGAGGTCGAGGAGATGCGTGGGCGGACGCGCGCGACGTGGCGAGCCTTAGAAGGTGGGGCGACTCCAGATCTCTCATGGTGAGCGTTGATGGCATCGCTTAACCCTCTGCCCCGGGGTTCTGCGCGCAGTATGTGGAGGAGGAGGATGGCGCCCACGCGCAAGCACGTCGCACGCAGCACCGCCTTCTTCGGGAACGTGCGCAGCTTAGGCAACATGCAACATCTCGGCGCTCTCTCGGCTGACCAGATGCAAGACCTCACCCGTGCGCAGCAGCAGTTATATCGGATTGCGCAACAGGTGGAAGAGGAGAGGCAAACGCTGCAAGCACGCAAAGTTTCTCATCTAGCGGCGCAACTTCGGGAGGCTCTGGGGCAACAGCAGTGGAGTTACGCATTCAGGTTGACTCGTCGTCTTGCTTGCACGTCGGCGGGAGGGGGCAGCGGCATTACATCGCGCCTATCTCGTATCGGCCTACGCGCGAGATGGGACGCGGGCATTTGGCGCTTCCTGGGCGACTTGGGAGGGGGGTGGTGGAGATGATCGAGATCAGTAACTACCCCGCGGATCGTTATGAGCGAGGGCCTGGCCATCATGTATGAGCCTGGTTTAAAGGGCGATGCTCTCAGAGACCTTGTTGGCGTTCGGGATGCGATGCTAACCGTGAAATATAGGCGCGCAGTCCCCAGTTGGGGTCTACCTCGTGAGATCTCCCGCATGCCCCTCCACCCCCACCGTCGCGACCCCAAACATCGCGATCGACAACGTGCGTTCGTTGAGAACCTTCCTGGCGTGAGTTGGTCCGGCAGGAGGTAGCGGGGGATTCTTCGGGGCGTTCGGGGATTGCGCAGGGTGCCGAGAGACTGGCTTCGATCGTCTGGCTGCTGCCTTCCTAAGCCGACGGGCAAGACCGGCACGATGGCCATCGGGCTGGTCCATCGCACGCGCCCGTTTAGCAAAGCCTTCTCACAACGTGTTGGTCGTAGAGGTGATGCGTGTTATTCAGATAAAGCGTTTGCACCGCATCTCCATGGGGGTCTTCGGCGTAGAAGGCGCGGGCCCGCTGCGAAGATCCAGCTCGTCGCCAGTAGGGGGCTCTCGAGCCTGGAGAATCCCGCCGCGCAGTCTTCTATGATCAGGCGAACGCGTTTGGTTTTTTTGGGGGGGCCTCTGATGAGACTGACTATCTCCACATGGGCCCACAAGACATCTTCCTGGGGCATGCGCGCAGCCGTGGCAGCATCATCTTTCTTGAATGTGCGGATGGGGATGGGCGCGTTCGTGTGGGGGAGGGAGTTTTGCAGGGCAATCAGGTTGCCCCTGTGAAGTGCACCCGCGCGCTGGATCGCTGCGTTCTGCATCCCTGGCTTGATGGGCAGCATGCGAAAGTTGGAGGGCGCCAGCTCTTATGCTCGGATCCCAGGGGCAGCGCTTCTACGGGGGCTGTTAACATAGGTACGACGGCGTTTATGGATGAAATAGCCCGCGAGTGCGTGGCCCCGACTGCGAATTGTCTTTGTGCGGCAGTCAATAGTGCAAGTCTGGGTTCGCGTGCACGTTTGCAGCGTGTGGGTGGCGCGCAGAAGATCGCCCCTCGGTTCGTCGGAACTGGCGCGCGCGCACAGTCTCGGACATTCACATCCGCGCGCGCAGCACAAAACATACGCGGTCACATTTGGCAGAACGCACCATATGCGGGGGTTCAATTTCACCAGCACTGCACTACATCACAGCATCGCCATATAATAAAAAGACGAATGGAGCTGGCTTGGTACTCCATGGGCAAGTTTTGGCTTCATCCTCGGGTACCTCGTTGTATCTTAACTGTCGCATGTCAAGTTTGTGCCCAAGGGGCTGCCCTGAGTGGCAAGGAAGCTTTTGTTATGGTGGCCAGTGACTATGAGACGGTGGAAGGGTTGTTGCTTTCGTGGGGGCGTAGGATTCTCAATGGGGGACGCGACTATTTGGCTGCCTCAATTTGACGGGAGGGAAAATACACAGCATTGCAGGCACAGCGTGTGTGGATAAAGCTCGGACTGGTGCCTACTCAGCTAGAACTTCGAATCCGACGGTTCCATTGGCTTCAGCAGGTGGCTGTGCACCGTGACAACCGCCAGCTAGCGGCAGCGATGTTTGGGCAGCTACCAGACGAACCGCACCCCATTGTTCTTGCATGGCCTTTGCATCGGGACTCTGAGGGGACCTTCAATGGCAATCCGTGGGCTCTGCAGGCTGTTAACGATCTCACCATGCTAACGCATCTAGATAATTGTCGGGTACCCCTGGGGGAGATGGAAAGGCAAGCACTTCAAAGTGTTAACGCCGCAGTTTGCCACAACATTCAGCATAATTAACGTCTCGAAGTTGAGAATGCGATATAAGGAAGGTGTGATCGATGCGAGTGGCAAGGTTGTGCTGGCTGCTTCTGCTGCCCCTGAAATTGGCCCTGAACCCCTCTTCCCGAACCCCCACCTACACCAGCTTGGGTCTGCAGGGAAACCAATGGCAACGGGGATGTCTGCGGGCTAAAGTTCGATACGCGAACAGCTTGGCATGCGCATGTGCGCTTCTGCCGTGAGGGTAGCCATGGCCACCGTGCCCTTAGTCAGCTACTCACCGCGACCAACCGATGCCCGTGGTGCATGAGCAACCATGCTACGAAAACCACTACCCAACAACATGTGCGACGCTTATTTTAGAATCATGCTTGTCACTGCGATCGCAGCCCTGTTCATCATGAGGTTATCCAGCCTTCCTTGCTCTCATGCCCTGCGTGCGGACTGGAGCACATTTCTTTCGAGTCCCTGCAGCACCATATCCGCTCACACGTTGACCTCCCGCACGAAGCGCACTTTGTCTTCAGCGCCGATGGCGGCGTGGGCACCAGCAATCCACGCGGCGAAGCTGGCCGAGGCCACGAAGAGAATCGTGGCGGACTTTCCGAAGATCTCCTTCGGCGGTGGTTCCAGCGGCGAAAAATTATGCTAACGGAGTTCCCCACATAAGGATGTCAGGGGGTTTCATTGCTTCTTGTGTGCCACCCGCCCTCGCCTTCTCCATGCCCTGCCCGGTCATGCGGGGCCTCCCTGCCCGGTCATTCGGGGCTTCCCTGGAAGGGTGGGAGGGGCACGAAGCCGGATAAACATTATGGTATTCGAATGCCCTGCTCGCTCAGGCGGGGCCTCCCTGGAGGGGTGGGAGGGGTACGAAGCCTGCTAAATAGTATGGTATCCGAATACCCTGCTCGCTCAGGCGGGTCCTCCCTGGAGGGGTTGGAGGGGCACGAAACCTGATACATAGTATGGTACTCGAATTCCCTGCTCGCTCAGGCGGGTCCTCCCTGGAGGGGTTGGAGGGCACGAAACTTGCTAAATAGTATGGTATTCGAATACCCTGCTCGCTCAGGAGAGGCCACCATGGAGGGTCGGGAGGGGCACGAAACTTGGTAAATAATATGGTATTCGAATATCCTGCTCGCTCAGGCGGGGCCCCCCTGGAGGGGTGGGAGGGGCACGAGCTTGATAAATAGGCACCAAGCCTCATACATAGTATGGTATTCGAATACCCTGCTCGCTCAGGCGGGTCCTCCCTGGAGGGGTGGGAGGGACACGAAGCCTGATAAATAGTATGGTATCCGAATACCCTGCTCGCTCAGGCGGGGCCTCCATGGAGGGGTTGGAGGGGCACGAAACTTGCTCAATAGTATGGTTTCCGAATACCCTGTTCGCTCACGCGGGGCCTCCCTGGAGGGGTTGGAGGGGCACGAAGCCTGATAAATAGCATGGTATTCGAATACCCTGCTCGCTCAGGCGGTGCTTCCCTGGAGGGGTGGGAGGGGCACGAAGCCTGATACATAGTATGGTATTCGAACACCCTGCTCGCTCAGGCGGCGCCTCCCTGGAGGGGTTGGATAAATAGCATGGTATTCGAATACACGAGGCAGCGACGGCGGCGACGGCGGCGACATGGCGACCTGAGCGGCCCGCAGGCCCAGGCGACGGTCGGCGATGGGCGTCGACGGGGCGGCGACGGCGGCAACACGGCGGCCAAAGCGGCCTGCAGGTCCAGTTACTTCAATAGAAGTGAGAATCCCTAAGTGCAAGCACTGTTTGGGAGCTGTTGGATTATTGGGGCCGTTTGTCGGGCTCTCTGGACTCTCTTGCGGTTTCTTGGGGGCCTTTGGGCCGTCTGGAGACTCTCTTCGGCATCTCGGAGCGCTCCTGGGCCGACTCGGGGCCCTGGGGGGCCGTCTTTGGGACCGTCTTTTGGGCCTCTGTGAGCCCTCTTGGCCCGTCTCGGGGCCTTCTGGCTCCCAAGTAAGTCATACGAGAACATGCGCGAAGCTCTGGGAGAGCCACGACGCGCCCCAGGAGATCTGGCAACTTCTTCACGACTCGTTTACTCATTCCGTTGGGGTTGTGGGCCCTTCTGTATTCTTGCATTCCGGACTGAGGACGGAGAACTCGAAGTGACCTGAGGACACTCCCATTCTTGCCTCAGGGCACGGTGGCGGATATAAGTGACAAGGTTCGCAGCGTTAGTCAGAAGGACCAGCAGTGTATCAGTGCACGGGCAGTAAACCACGACTTGACAGCGAGATGCGCGGGGGAAGGATGGCGACAAGGTGACAGGGGGTACGGGTGCACGTGTGTGGGAGGGGACGGGGGGACCTTGTCTTATTCCGTGACATTGTTCCCCAGCCAACGCGACTGGTTTGCTTGCCAATTCGAGCGTCCACCGTACGTGGAGCGCTTGCGCCTGTTTTCTTTTTGAAAGCAGCAGGGTGCGGTCGGGATCAGCAGACGAGCCTACGAGCGAAGTGCAAGGGTGTACCTTTAGCAAGTTCTAAGGGGCAATCAGCATGATGTCATGGTGCAGAACATGAGCGTCTGAGCCCAACACGTGCGAACACAAGAGGAAGAGGGGGCGGAGGGGGGAGTATGAAGGAGGATGAGAAGGGGAGGACTGGTGGTGGACGATGGTGATGACGATGATGATGGTGGTGATGACGAGGACGATGACGATGACGATGATGGTGATGATGATTATGGTTATGATGATGATGATGCTGGTGCTGATGCTGCTGATGATAACGACGACGATTCCAATGATGATGAAGATGATGACGACAATGATGATGCTGATGATGACGATGATGATGATGATACGGATGCTGATGATGATGATGATGATGATGTAGTTGCCGATGATAATAATGATGATGATGATGATGATTATGATTATGATGATGTGGTGGTGGCAATGATGATGAGGAGGAAGATGAAGAGGATGAGGATGAGGATGAAAATGGCGACGACGATGACGACGATGACGATGACGATGACGATGACGATGATGATGATGATGATGATGATGATGATGATGATGATGATGATGATGATGATGATGATGATGATATGATGATGACGATGATGATGATGATGATGATGATGATGATGATGATGATGATGATGATGATGATGATTATTATGATCATGATGATGCTGATGATGAGGATGAGGATGCTGATGCTGATGATGATGATGATGATGATGATGAGGAGGAGGGAGGAGGAGGAGGAGGAGGAGGAGGAGGAGGAGGAGGAGGAGGGGGAGGAGGAGGGGGAGGAGAGGAGGAGGAGGAGAGGCAGGAGGAGCAGGCGGAGGAGGAGGAGGAGGAGGAGGAGGAGGAGGAGGAGGAGAAGGAGGAGAGGAAGGGAATGGAAGCGAAGAGAAGTACCCAGACATCAGACGTCTTGATGTTTTCAATTCGGTTCCCCCGGAAGTCCCGATCCGTTGCCTAAGACCAGCAGCTTTTTGACAGTCCCGTGGCCAAGCGAGGGCCTCCAGAGACCGAAAACGACCGAAATATGTCCGTCTTGTTTCTGCTCACGACGCGGGCATGTTTGGCTTCCTCTCTCTCTCCCATCCCTCCTCCCTGGAAGGAAGGAGCCCGAAGGCGCTGAGGAGGAGGAGGACGAGGAGGAGGAGGAGGAGGAGGAAAGGGAGGAGGAGGAAAGGGAGGAGGAGGAGGAGCGCAACGTGGGGTGCACGAGGCATTGGTGGCCGGCGCTGCCAGGCATCGGCTTCGCCTCCCGGGTCTCACCTCACCGCCCACGCCGCTCGGCCCCACTGGCCCGACAACTCGGCGCCCGGAGCGCCGCGTGCGCACTTGCGAGCGAGAAGGCAGCAGGGCGCTGGGGAGGAGGGTCGTGGACCGGGATCTCGGAGGAGGACAAGGTACCGATATCGCTACCATTCCCTCCTTTTCGCATTTGTGGGCCTCCTGGGAGACCCTCGTCGCCACCGCTGGATTCGACTCGAAAGTTCTGGTCAGAATTTTGGTCCGGGGGGTAGCGATATCGGTACCTGTTGGGGTTCCCCCAGAATTCTAGGCCTCATGGACGGGGTCGGAATGAGTACTTAGCTGGGATCCGAGGTTCGTGCCGCATCGGCGATGCATCGACGATGCGGCTCGATATGGATCCCGGTTTTCTCCACACGGACGGCGCCGGTGCATCGCCGACGTCGCCGATGCATCTGCGCTGCGCGATCTTCCGACCCCATACACTCCGGCAGCATCTCGGAGGCGTCTAGGAAAGGCACTGCGGAGTATCGAGGACCTGGATCTCCGACGATGTAATGTTGGGACCTTTGAGGGGCCTCGCATAGAACAAATCACATCGTCGGATGTCTGGGGAAGGCGGCTCGAGGAGCGAGGTGGGTTCCAAGATCCAGGCTTCTGGGCACCCCTGCTTTTTCTGGAGACTCTGCGTCGAGGGGAAGCTCGAAGCTCGACTCCTCCCCCTCCTCCTCCTCCTCCTCCTCCTCCTCCTCCTCCTCCTCCTCCTCCTCCTCCTTGAGGCCCTGCAGACACTCCTGGAGATGTCGGGGATCTGCGGAGTCCACCGCCGGAGACATCTCCATGCATGGAGGCCTCGGGGGAGGCAGTTGGAGGGGGAGGAGGAGGAGGAGGAGGAGGAGGAGGAAGAGGAGGAGGAGGAGAAGCAGGAGGAGGAGGAGGTGGAGGAGGAGGGGCCACTGCAGGGGCTGGCCGCTGGCCTCTCCTCCTCCCTGTCCTTCCCAAGAAAGCTGCGCTGGTTGCGCACAGGCAGCCCCCCCCACCCCAAGCAGTCGCGGCTGGCCTCACCAGGCCCCCTGAGAAGTCCCAGCTGGCCTCAGAGGGCCCCTCGAGTAGCCCAGGTCTGCTCGGGGCGCCGCCCTCTGAGGACAGTTGGGATTACCTGGAGTACCTGTTGAGGCCAGCCAGGGCTGCCTGGGGCGGCGGTGTCCTGTGCCCAACCCGAAGCCTTACCGTCCCTCCCGCCGCTGCCTCAGTGTCCTCCTCAGACCCCCGACGTCATGATTTTCCATGACGTGGAACCCATCAAATCTGGACCCCTTCCCCATGACCGGCTTCTCATCCCGCGTCGCTTCATGACGCTTCCGAGGCCCAATGAGGGCATTGCAGAGCTGGAGACTATCAAAAATCATCCGCCGTGATTTTGTCATGTTTCGCAAGGGGGTCCAGGCGCTCCGAGCATGGCATGGTCCAGTCGGAGGATCTCGCGCCCGCGAGCGCACGCGTGGGGTTCGATTGGCGGCCGGTGGGGCGCCACAAGCGAGTCACGGCGGGCCGGCGGGGCACTCCGAGGGGGGGTCTCCCGGGGCGGACGAGCGGGGCCTCGCGTGCGATGCACAAGGGGGGGGGGAGAGATGCAGCAGCCGCGGGCGATGGAGGATGGAGGATGGAGGCGGAGGAAGAGGAGGAGGAGGAGGAGGAGGAGGAGGAGGAGGAGGAGGAGGAGGAGGAGGAGGAGGAGAAGGAGGAGGAGGAGGAGGGAGGAGGAGGAGGTGGAGGGGGAGGAGGAGGAGGGGGAAGCGCCGAGGAGGAAGAAGAAGGCAGGAGGGGGAGGAGAAGAAGAAGAGGCGGGAGGGGCAGGAGGGGGGAGGCAGGAGGAGGAGGAGAAGGAGAGACGGGAGAGGAGGAGAATGAGGATGTTGTTGTTTTTGATGATGGTGATGACGATGATGATGATGATGATGATGATGATGATGATGCTGATGCTGATGCTGATGCTGATGCTGATGCTGATGCTGATGATGATGCTGGTTATAAGCACCATGCAACTGATGATGATGGTGATGCTGATACTGATGATGCTGATGATGATGCTGATGCTGATGATGATGCTGATGCTGATGATGATGCTGCTGATGATGATGAGGAGGAGGAGCAGGATGACGATGATGATGATGATGATGATGATGATGATGATGATGATGATGATGATGATGATGATGATGATGATGGTCTTTTCTTTCGAAGTTGAATGCCTTCAGAGGGGGAGGGAGAGGCAGAACGATTGTATTCCGTAGCCTTTAGCTCTCGAGCTGGGTCCGCGGCAGGGCCGCGGTGAATGGGTTGGCTGGGCCTCGGTGTGCCGGCACGGCAGACCTGGGTCACTCGCTGTCCCGCGACCGAAGTCCCGCCCTGCCCTCTGTGCCCTGCCTGCCTGCCCGCCGTGGGCGCGGTTGCCATGGCGTGCGTGACCGCGGGCCTGGCGGGCGCCTCCCTCGGCGCGCTGGCTGCCATAGCGGTGCTGCGCCTCTGGGGGCCGCTCCGCTTCACGGCCGAGGCGCGGGCCCAGGCGACAGCCGCAACGGGGTCGCGCGCGGAGGCGTTGAGCAGCCCTCCACATCGTCCGGCGCTGGCTGGCACTGGCGATGGCTGAGGCTTGGGCGTGGGTCTTGTACAACGTAGGAGGCGCGCCGCTCTTCCACCAGAGGAGGATGGTGGGGCAATTGGCGCTCACCGATGACGTGGTCATCGTGACCCCCGACGACGTGGTGTATGCCGAGCGCCTGCTGGCTGCGGGGCCTGACATCGCGGCGGTGCGTTTCGCCGCTGCTCGCTGGCCTCCGCCACCAAGGATCGCCCCAGACGCCACGCACAGTTTCGTGCGGGACCCGTCGGCTGCTCGCGAGGCCTCCGGGTTGGCCGCTGCGAGGGCCGAGGCGGACGCCGAGTTCGGCTGCCGTCACCCTGGAGTGCCCGGCTCGGCTGGAAGCACGCTCGTCCCCATGAGTGGCGGGCTGCTGCCAAGGGCGGGGCCTCCTGCGGCCGCGGCAGCGGCCGCGGCCTGTGGGGCCGTTGCTGCCGCGCCGGCCGGGAGCCGCCGCTGGGCCTCCCGCGCGCGCCGCGCTGCCGCCGGCTCTTCTGGCCGCCCTCGCCACTGGCGTGCCCATGGCCGCGTGAGATCCACCTGCCACGGGAGAGCCGCCTGGGCCAGGGGGGGAGGACGACGGGGGGCTCCGCTAGAGGCCAGCGGTGAGGCGCGAGGCGCCCACTGGCTGGGCTTGGGTGCTCGCAGAGGACGTCGGCTCTTTGCCCCTCGGCTCGGCGGTGCAGGTCGGGTCGATCGCGGGCGTCGTGCTGGCAGCGCGGGCTGGGCGGCGCGACATCGTCACGCTCGATGGCGGCGGGGGGCGGATTCTCGCACCCTGGCGCGCACTCCTGGCAGTGGCGGGCCGCGGAGTTGGCTCTTCGTGGCTGAGGTCACGATGGAGGTGCCCGACCCGCAATTCAGTCTCGCGCCGCGCTCGGCTGCCCGGCGCGTCGCCCAGTTGCTGCGCGAGGGCGGGCCGATCCAGCACCGCGAGAGCTGGGGGGCGCGCAAGCGGCGCAGCACTTCGGACTACGGCGTCGCAGAGCGTTGCGCTACCAGTAGGGCGTTGGAGGACCTCGCGACCCTGGGCGAGATCAACGTGGCGAACCCTGTCGGGGTGGAGCGCCTGCTCGGGAAGACGCAGCTAACCGAGCTCTTCTGGGAGGAGAAGCAGTGGGGGGCAGGGCCCCACCCGGCAGAAGCTGCCGCGGGAGGATGTCAACGCGCTCATGGATGGCACGGGCCCCATCCAGCCGCCCGAGCAGCATGGCGTGCCCAGCGCTGCTGGACGCGGTCGGTAAGGAGCTCGAGCGCGTCAGTCAGATCAAGAAGATCGCCCGCGAGCTGCGGGGGGAGTCGATGGCCACCTGCGGGGCCAAGGCTGGAGGCGCGAAGTCGTGATGTCATCGTGCCTGGGGGGGGCCCTTGGCCTGGCCCCCCTGGGCGCCGCGGGAACAGGACTCTCTCCGGCGGAGACCTGCGTCGCTGAGGATGTGCACGGCAGGTGCGGCGGGGTGGGCGCGGAGCGGCAGCGGGGAATCTTTCCGCTGACCGTGCCCGCCGCTGCCGACGCTGGCGGGCTGGCTGCTCTCGCAGCGTGCGGAGGCGCGCGCGGCGGGCGGCATCTGCGCCGCGGCTCGTCGGGCAGGCGGTGGAGTCGCTCGGCGGCCCCGGCGGCGCTGGGGGCGGCGGCGGCTCGGGGCTGCAGGCCGACGCGACCCTGGCGCAGCGGCGCTGCCTGTCGCGGATTGTGGAGTCCGTCTCGCAGCTAGGACCCCTGCCGGGCGACCTCCAGCTTTTGGCAACCCTGCTGGAGCCCCAGGCTGCTCTGTCCCACGACGGCTCGCTGTCGACCAGGGCGGAGGCGACGGGCGTCTCCCAGCTCTCGTTGCCGCCGTCAGGTAACCATCGCGCGGCGCTTGGGCGGCCGCTGGCCCCCGAGGTTTTCGACCCCGTCCATCGCGACATGTCAAGCAAGGTCTTGCCAAATAACCGAAGTGTCGCAGCGGAAGCAGGGCGTTGGCTTCGAGGCGCCGGGCGTGGATCCAATTCTCCGCGACCGTCGTCATTGCGCAGCCTTGGCGACGCGTCTGCTCGACGCCAGAGCCATCGACCTCGCCGGCGACCCGAGCGAGGTCATCGACGAGGTTGGCCTTTTCAGCGCGCCGGGTGGCAGCGGCTCGTCGACGACGCCCGGCCTGCCGACTTCTGGTTCGGCGCGCCCGCCGACGCCCACCTGGCCGCGGGCGCGGCGCCGCCGGCGGCCGAGATCCCCGACGGCGCCAACCTGCGGGCCGCCTCTGCCAACATCGCGGACGCGTTCTACATCGTGGAGTTCCCATTCGCATGGCTCCCATAATTCGCGCCCCCGCCGATAGACGCCTGGAGGCTGGGGCTTAGGGCCGACCGTGGGCGGTGGCCGTCTCGGCTGCTGTGGCCGCGCCTCGCGGTCCTGCCCGTGGGTTGCACCCGTGCGCTGGCTGTCTGTCTACGGGCGTCGGAGTCGGCGGCCGATCGGGCG